ATTACTGATGTGTTCATATTTCACGCAGTATCTCGGTACTTGAATGAAATTTAGGGAAAAAATCGAAATAGGCCAGGAAAACTAAGGCTTTTTGGAATGTCGGTGTGGAAATCCCATGTTGATGATATTACGGGGGGTGTACCCCTAGATCATGATGAGGCACCTCGTCGACTACGAGATACTTATGCGTGGAATTCTCGGTTTAGTTGATTCATCGAATACTTGATAAGGCGTTTCCATCACTGACGCTCTGTTGATCTCCAGTGACTGAGCCAACAGTCATGCCGCCGAGTTCAATTCTGAGCTCGCCTCATCCACAGTACTCCATGTAATCGAGTTAACGGATCGGTAACTCCATGACCCGCTGAATGTCATCGTTAAATGTTTCAGATGGTGCGGCGCGCAGTGGTTCCGCTCTGTTCAACGAGCTTCGTAACGCAGTTTTTGCGCGTGTCGCGCAGCACAGCGTTCGCAATATTGCTCGTCAGATATTCCTACATTTGCACTCGCTCGATCTGTCGTTTCATCTGAGTCGTCAAACGGGCGGAATGTCGAAGGCCATCGATCGTGGTACCCGTGGTATGGCATTCGTGCAGAGCGCACTGGTTTTTAACGTGGTTCCAACTGCTGTCGAAGTGGCAATGGTTTCTGGATTACTGGTATTTTCTTTTTATGCGTTTTTTGCAAAAATGCAATGCGAAAAGCGCATATTGACGAGAGGTTGTCTGTGTGTCCGTGTGACTGTGTGTGCGTCTGTCACGCACTTTCATCTTAGGACCTATAAAAGCTGCGGGGCTGAAATTTCGGGAACTTAATCTACATGCACCGCCGGCCACAATCCCCAAAATGGGCGCCAAAATCCGCGTGGTACCCGCGTACGGGCCAGCCAAAGTTTTTTTGGGGTCAGCTCGTAACTCGGGAATCTGAGAAGCTAGAAGGCTGAAATGTTGAGGTAATGTTCCCCGCCCAAGCGAGTATTAGTGGGCGCAAACCCAGCCCCCGAGTAAGCGTGGTACCCGCGTACGAGCCCGCCAAAATTTTTCTCGGGTAAGTTCATAACTTGGGGATCTGAGAAGCTAGAAGGCTGCAATCTTGCAGTAATGTTCCCCGCCGAAGCGGGTACCAGTGGGCTCAAACCCAGCCCCCAGGTAAGCGTAGCACCCGCATTCGAGCCCGCCAAAATTTTTCTTGGGTAAGTTCATAACTCGGGTATCTGAGAAGCTAGAAAGCTGAAAGCTTAGCATGATGTTTCCCGTCGAAGTGAATATTAGTGGGCTCAAACCCAGCCCCCGGGTAAGCGTGTTACTCACATTCGGGCCCGTCAAAATTTTTTTCGTGTAAATTGATAGCTCAAGTACCTGAGAAGCTAG